GATGCATTGACAGACTTTCACTTGGGACGAGATGATGTTGAAAATTCTTTGATTTCCTCTAAGTCTAAAGGAAAAGAAATAATGAAGGATCTGAAGATAAAGGAAAAAAGATCAAAATGTTGAGGACAAGGAGAAGGAGAAGGAGAAATTGAAGGCTAGACCATCTAAAGGAAAAGAAAAGGCTTAGTTTGATGGTTGTTTCGTTTGTGATGGACTTCACATGGTTAGAAACAATCTAAAATGTACTAAAGTTATCAATTGTTTACTAGCTAAAACTGAGGATGCATAACTAGAAGAAGAACAATGGCATATATTAATCTTGTAAGTGTTTTGTTTGACATAAAAATGTTGTTGCGTCTAAATTTATTTCCCTGATCTAGTGACTTAGCTAAATGGTAATACAGATAAGGTTTTAAATCATGTTAACCTTGTCACTTCTATAATCTAAATAAACAAATATGTAAGGCTAAGTTGGTGACGAACTGTTGACAAAGCTAAGGTGTACACACTGACACCAAGGCCTGATTTTTAAGTGGTAATTGAGGATCAAGGACTTGAGATAAAGGAAATTTGGTGATGACTTGACAAGATGAAGACTTGAAAATGGCGTGTGGGTGTGGCATTGATATTCAGAAACATGACAAAGATAAGGCAACAATGCTAGGGGTATAAGGCAATGTGAGATAAGGCAATGATACAAATTTGGACATTAGCATGGCAACATTGAGTGGGAGCAATGCAAGGTTGAAAAGTCTAAGTAAGGTAGTGGTATACATGTTTGAAGTTTGGTGATAAAACAAGCAATGCCAAATCTACCCAGCAAGTACAAAGTACATACATGACCGGCGGTTACAAAAAGTACAACTTTATTTTATTTCAGCAAAGACTTTGTTTTGAAGCCTTGTTTGAATTATACTAAGGTTAACAAGCATTTCCTTCCTTTACGCCACATGTCAGTAGTTGGCTGCACATAAAATTATAAATGTGCAGGCTGCCTTATTGTGGAATTTGGATTTGTTGTTCTAAGTATTAGGGAATACTAAATAGAGGGGTAAATCTAAGCATAAGGTCTAGAGTGATCTTATAGGGCCAGGGCTGGTACAGATCAAAATGTTCTTGCATTTACTTTAAATAATATTAGTTGGAAATTGAGTTTTTCGTAAAATTTATTTTCTTATTTTCTTTTTCTACATACTTTGACTTTATTCTATATTGTTGCGTACGGTCTTATGTTGCCTAAAAACGTCCAAGGGTTGGTCTCAAACATTGTTGTCTATATTTTTAGTTAAGCCAAAACAATCATAAAATTGGCTAATAGTTGAGAAGGTTGAAGTTGACAAGGGTGTTGGTTGTCACCTGCCGCACATGTATTAATTAGCAAACAAATTACTGTTCAAAGATCGACCCCGTATCAAATTCCATAAAATAAAAATATATAGATAAAAAATTGAATATAAATTAAGCTAACATTTAACTTTTTTCTCAAAAAATATATGGAATAATTATGAACAATCTAATTGATGAAATCTCCCCTAATTTTTAATTACTTGTAGAATACAATAAATATATTTGCCAAGTATCCCAAATACTAGAAAAACTAGTATTTATACCAAGTTCTAATTTTTGAGATTTTAAAAAAAATCAAATATTACCCCAAAGTTTTGTATTTTATAAAAAATATCTATTATTTATTAAATCCATCTTATATTTGTTAGTACCTGCTCCTGAAAAGTTTGAGTTTAAATTTGAGCGATAAAATTGAGAAAAAAAGAACAAATTGTGTTTAATGACTTATAATTATGACAGATTTAAATATATGATCAATGTATTGTTTTGCCTACATTTTTATTTGATATTGTTACTTGTCATCAATGATATTTTAAAGTTATTTTTAACCGGACATATTTTTTATAAAATGATAATATAAATTTATGGGCGTTTATATTATTTTTTAGATTTTATGAGTATAAATTATATTTTTTGAAATAGTCAAATATTCTTGAGAAAACTTGAGCCAAACAAATGGGGTAGTTTCACTTATATATTTGACCCAAATATTATTTGTCAATAATATTTAGACTCTGAGTGAAACACTAGATAAATTAGTATTGTTATACTTACAAAATGGCAATCACATTAATTTGATCAAATTTATCTTTTTATATAACGAAGATGGTCAAATATGCCTTTAAACTATGCGAAAATATCTAGATATACCCCGTGTTTGAAGTTTGGCTCATCTATGTCCTCGTTGTCTAACTTTTTGCCCATATATGCCTTTGTAGATATTAGTTGTTTTGCTGAAAATAACCAACTCATTTTTCTTTTCTTTAAATAACAAATGAAATTGTCACATCCCTTTTTAATTACCACAGGTCATTTGTTTATATTCAAAAATAAATACACCTCTTTTAAATAGGATATTCGACCTGTAAATCCTATTCGACTCAAATTTCTTTGGTGGATATTTCACGTAAGCCGACAAATCATATCTTACCCAAATCACTTTGATCGAAGAAACGACATCTCCAATCGAACCCATCTTTTTCTCCTAAAAGCAAAACACCATTAAAGGTGAGATTCGAGCTCTAACCATGAGCAAACAATAGAGCTCGAATGAGCTCACTGATTTGTACAACCTCAGATAAACAACCACCAAATAGCTTTAACCATCACGAGCTCCAGAAACCTCCCCCCCCCCCTCCCAAGGTAGCCGGCAAAACACCAACCTACACACCTCACTCGTCTAGCAAGACAGCTAGCAAACGACCCCAAAATAGTTGTGTTTCAGATGTCAAATGTTATCTCATTTTATATCTGATCGAAGGAATTCAAACTACGATCACTTTGGGCTGGATATGATTTACGGGTAGGATATCATATTTAAAGGAGGTGTATTAATCCTTTAAATACAAATAAATGGAAAAGGGTAAAACATACCTTAAACTATCTTAAATAGCTTAAATTTACCCTATATTTCAGCTCAAAACTACTCTTCACATCAAACTATTGGGTCAAAAGTGTCATTCTTATTAATGGAAGTTGTTATGCCATGTGGATGCCAGATAGATGTCATATTGCATGCCAATAGGGTCCCACTACCACATAAATTACCAGGAAAAGATCAAAAATACCCTTAAACTATCCAAAATAACTCATATTTACCCTTAAACCACATTTTGGCTCAAAACTATCCTTTCCGTCAAACTATTCAGTCAAAAGTGTCCTTATTATTAACAAAAGTTGTTAAATGTCATATGAATGTCACACTGCACGCCAACAGGGTTCCAGTGCCACATAACTAGATTCGTAAATCTTAATTTGAAAAGGACAAATATACCCTGACCTATCGTAATCGATATGTACATACCCTTCGTCATACTTTTGGGACACTAGTGCCTCTCCCGTCCATAAATTAGAGCATATATGCCCTTCAATCTAATAGAAGACTAAACAAGAACACGTTACGCAATTTTACCCATTGATAAATGTCAGATCGGCGGATAAGATTATGACATGTGGATGTCCGTTATAATAAATGGTATATATACTCTACTTTTAGACGACAGGGGCACCAATCTCCCAAAAGTATCATAGAGGGTATTTGCTTACCATTTACAATAGTTCGGGGGTATATGTGTCCTTTTTCCCAATCTTAATTACTTTTTCCCCTTATTTCATTTTTTCCAATAATGTTTTCGCCCATTCTCCCTCATTTCGCGGTTAGGGTTTCACAATTTTCTTTATCGCTGGATTTCAAAGTGGATATTCATGGTTGTAGGTTAGTAAATCTTTTTTATTATTTTATTATATTTACAACCACAGATATCCACTATGAAACCCAGTCCCAAAGAAAGCTAGCCGCGAAATGAGGGAAAAGTCGTGAAATGCTAACTATCATACTTTAAAATCGTAAACATAATAAAATGAGGAAAAAGATGTACTAACCCTACAACCACGGATATTCACTTTGAAACCCAATCCCGAAGTAAGCTATGAAACCCTTGCCGTGAAATGAGGGGAAAGTTGTGAAATCCTAACTATTATACTTTGACATCATAAACATAATAAAATAAGAAAAAATATTTACTAACCTATAACCATGAATATCCACTTTAAAACCCAGCCACAAAGAAAACTGTGAAATCCTAACCGCGAAATGAGGGAGAAGGGGTGAAATCGTTTCTAAAAAATAATAAAATGAGGGGCGAAAAGAGTAATTAGGATTTAGAGATTTAGTCTATGTGGCAGTGGAACCCTATTGACATCCAATGTGACATCCACTTGGCATTTAATAACTTTTGTTAATAAGAAGGTACTTTTGACCCAATAGTTTGACGGAAAGGGTAGTCTTGAGTCGAAATATAGTAAGGACAAATATAAGCTATTTCAGATAGTTTAAGGGTATTTTTTTATCCTTTTCTATTTAGTGTATGTGGGAGTGCAATCCTATTGTTTGTGCAATATGACATCCACGTGACATTTAACAATTTTCAATTACATGAAGAATACTTTTGACCCAATAGATTGACGGGAAGGGTAATTTTGAGTTGAGATATTATGTAAGGGTTAATATGACCTACTTCGGATAATTTAAAAGGATATTTTGACCCTTTTTCCATAAATAAATGTCATGTGGTAATTAAGACGGATATGACAATTCCATTTGTTATTCAAAGAAAGGAAAAATAAATTGGTTATTTCTAGCAAAGCAACTAACATTTATAAAGGCATATAGGCGAAAAGTTGGACGGCGAAAACACGGATAAGCCAAATTTCAAACAGGGTATATCTAGACATTTTCACATATTTTAGGGGCATATTTGATTATTTTCCCTTTTATATATGTTCATTGTGTAATGAATGCTTTTATAATTTTAGGAATCGCTTAGTGTGAGAAATAAAAATAAATAATGATAAAATAAAATATTTGTATCTTATTTAATTGTTATGGTTGAGATTACTTATTCCTATCATTTATATATTATAATAATATGATATAATTTGTTAGCCGTCAATACCGAGAAAGAAATGAAATAAGCTACATCCCTGTGGCCAATTCTGAGGTTTGGGACTCGGTTGAAAATTCAGATACAGAGAAGAGAACTTTGAGCGGGGAAATGAAGTTGATTAGTATTCATCATGAGTGATCGAGCGAGTGGTAGATTGATTAGGGTTAGCCTAGATGGATGTGTATTCATGGTTCCGACGAAGCCTTTCTAGAACTACAAAGACCACTACCACAACTGTCACTGCTCAACCGGACGACGAACTACTCTACGGCGTCAGTGATCAATTAGTCGATTTTATCAAATCCTTCTCCATTGACACCTTTCGAAACTTCTCTCTCCCAAATGAGGACGATGGAGATACTCCCGAGAATGTACGGAGAGATCTATCTGATTGGCAACAACGTCATGCTTTGCTTGTTCTCTCCAAACTCAAGGTCTTTACTTCTCTTTCATTCTATACATTTGCTCTTACCTTCTTTTGTATTTTCCTTTTCTGTTCTCTTTAGGGTTTTTTTATAAACTGACTTGAAGGAAGATATAGGAATTGCATTTTGGATGTTGTAAAACTAGGGTTCTTATTGCTTTTTCAATATGATTCATCCTTTGAGTTTATTGAAGTAGACTCACTTGGTTTAGTTTACATTTTGACCATTTCTCATAGATTTCAAGAGGTACTGATGTTTGATTCTCTAAAATATGAAAATTATGTGTAATAAATACATACACAGAAGACCTACTGCATTTTGAGGGGTAACTGTGTTTTAAATCATTCTAATGCATGCATTAAAAACCTTGCATTGCTAATACTATGGTTTGACTTGTATTAGTTATACATGGAATTATACCAAATAGAGCATATGCATAGATTGAAAAAGTGTATCAAACAAGATATTAATAATGCACAAAGCTAATGCATATATTGTTTTTTCTAATGCATCCTACCAAATGACCTTGAAATGTATTTAACATACCTAGTATCTAGTAGGGCTTTCAACAACTCATATCAATTCCTGTAATTAGATATCATTAAGATTAAAATGAGAATGTTAGAAGAAACATAAGAAAGTGTATTTCTTTCTAGCATCAACCGGAAAGGAAAGATTTCCATGTGAAAAGGAAATAAGGGAGTAAGCAATTGCGTAAAAGGTTTAGTTTTATACTGTAGTATGAGACAATACAAAGACCCTTAACCTAGTTTTCAGTTTATTTTGTTTACTAGAGTGACTAGACTAAATATCTCAGGCCAGGTTCTTACACTTGTTTTATGTCTATTTGAGACTATGAATTATTAAGTGGTGGCTACAAACCTATGGATATGTTTAATAGGGGTCAAATTTACTGCCAATTTTTATTTTTTTTGATAAAGGTAATGTTAAAAGTTATCACCAATTTTTTGAGTGAAAGATTGGATGTATGAGTTTGTACTCTTTTTATATAGATTTGGGTTATCCTATCCACCTCAAACAACTTTTGAGGTTGAGTTAAGCTGATTATCCATTTTTGTTTACATGGTGTAGAGTCAGACCCATAATTGATATTATTAGATGATTGAGGACCGAGGCATGTCAAAGTTATTAGAATCTCACATTGGTTAAGTGTATAAGTTGTAGTCTCTTCATTGGTTTTAGGTATTCCTCAACATTTCTTTTGCAATTAAGTTAAGTTAGGCCTAGTGTCCATTTCTTAACACCGAGCATGTCGTTTCGCGTTAACAAAACTTCTTTCATAGATAGGTTGATGTTGACCATTGGTGTAGTAGGGAATTTCAGTCATCTCCCTAGAAGAAGATCCCAACACCAATCTACTAGGCTAGCAACATGTCATAACTTGATAAAATGGTGGCATGTGAAGCTGCCAAATACATGTAACATTTTTTTTATGACCTTGGTGGCTAGGCTAGCTTTATGCACCATGACTAATTCTACGACATACCTGTCACCTCCCACCAACAACATGTACTAGGTAACTTTGTCCACCAAGGCTATGACAGATGGGAAGAATCACCTCGTGTTTTGGTCTCCCCTGTGATTTGAACCTGAGACCTCAGTCTCAACCACTTCATTGAGCACTAGGCTACACCCTTGGGTGCCCAAATACATGTCACATAAACAACCAAAATATGAAGAAAAAGAAATACATGACTTAATTTTTCGGTCTTTTTGTTGCATAATATAGGTGATCCAGCAGTCTTTCCCCTAAGTAGTATCTTGAGTGGAGTTCAGTAATTATATGCCTGTTTCTACCAGTTTTTGGCTATATCTGAGAGACCGGTGTTGGTTTCATCAGCTTGCATGTATTCTCTTCCTACTTCCTGTTACACACCTGTGCGTTACTGTTTCTCTCTGGAGATTTATTTTCTACTGTGAGGTTAACTTTTGTTCATGCATTTTCCAGTAGATGAAAAAATATTATTTTTGTGGATTTAGTCATATTGGGTTACGCGCCTGCATCAGCTATATCAGTTGGCATTTAGTTGTGGTTGCTTGTCTTCACTCCTATCCATTATCTTCTCAAATCAGTTGTTCACTTCATTGCAACATTCAGGAACTCTCACAATTGAGGTTCAAATTATGTCCGCGTTTTTTAAAGGATCACCAATTTTGGACAATATATTTTGCTCTCGTTAAGGATTTTGTTGCCAAGTAAGTTCCGTGTACTAACTTTGCAAATGCTGTTGTGCTTGAACTTACCGAAGAAGTTAAAGTTCTATTAATGTTGATGATCAGATATGAGCTACGTGCTATACAATTAGATAAGCTCAAACAGATGAGATTGGAAAGTGAAAATTCACCAGATGTTGCTGCATGCGAAGTTGAGATGTCTGAAGCAAAGAGAACAACGGATGTATCACCTACAATTTCTGAGGATCACAATTAGTATCTCCTTTGGATATGTCACTAGTTATCAGGTATATATTCATTTGTTCTTCCTGGAATGCTATTTGTGATTTCTATTAGTGAGCAACTTCGTACACAAATTTTGTGCAATAGAGTTCCTTCATCTTTTTCTTACTTTTACCTTATAACCATTCAGTGCAAGAAAAGTGGCTCAGCTATTAGCAACATTCAAATGTGCCTTCCTGTTTCTGCTATGCATATTTGAAGGCACTTAAATAAAATAAAACAGAATATGTAAATTTTTTCATTTATGATGATAAAAACTGCAAGCCGAGCAAAATTTTAGATGAAACTAATTGTTGATTGGAAATGCTTTTGTTCATCAAGAAAAGGGAACATATTTGCAAATTTGGCGTGTCATGTGACAACTTCTACTATACCTGCATCACTGGAATTGATAATCTGGTATTGTTCTGCTTCTAATCGAGCTGGCTTTTTAATAAAATCTACTAGAAATTTCATACACCAATTTGATTTTAAGGCCAGTAGTCATTTCATTTATCTTAACTTGACCATAAAACCTATTTAATGCAACTGAGCAATACCCATATAAGAACAGATCTTAAGTTTGCATGTATGTCTAGCAGGAGTATCTAGATTCTAAGGCAATGTAGGAAATATAGTTGAATAATGTCAGTGAACTGAGATGTAATTTGCAGGTGTAGCTATAAAAACTGGAAGCAAGTGTGCTCGTGTCCCTAGCATGAGTACCTAATGCAGCAACAACAACAACAACAAAAACCTGCCCTATGTAGTTCCACAAAATGGGGTCTCGGGAGGGTAGAATGTACGTAGACCTTACATCTGTCTTAAGAGGTCAGGTTGAGAAGTTGTTTCCGATGGACATTTGCTTCAAAGACAAAAACAATCTAGAAAAAGACGTAATTGAAGTACAAAATTCAATAAATAATACTCCCTCTGTTCCAATTTATATGACTTACTTTTCCTTATTAGTCACTCCTAAAAAGAATGACACATTTCTATCTCAAGTAACAACTTAACTTTAAATGTCCATTTAACTCTTAATGAAATGATTTATAGTCACACAAATTTCCATCATTTCATTTTAGACCACAAGTTTTAAAAGTCTTTCTTTCTTTCTTATACTCTGTGCCGAGTCAAATTAGACTAACAAACAGAGCAGATAGTAGCATAATAACACTACAACAAATAACACTATAATCGAACTACAACTAAATACAAGAAACCACAGATATTTACAAAAATCAAAGAACAAGAAACAACAAGTCTAGTTCTATGACTACTAGTATGGACGCACTCTTACATGCTAACCTTCTACCCTAATTTGTATTCCCCGCCTTCTTATCTAAGGTCATTGTAATGCCCTGCAACTTCCAAGCAAAGATTTGAACCATTTTCTATATGCGTACAGGCCCGAACCTGATAATTTCTAAGATGTACATAGATGTTAAGGTCGTTTACCAAGTGTGATAAGTTTATTATATGTGTTTTAGGCTCATAGGGTACCTTAAACCCCAAGCCAAGTTCAAATCCTTTCTACTAGTTATGTTTTTCGCAAGAGTTCATGCAAGGGTCAGCTTCAAACGACCATGTCTCTCAACAAATAAAGAGTTAGATGAGCCATGACTTGTCAAATTAAAGGTATTTTAGTCTAGTTTCTAATACATCAAACTGTTTGTAAATTCGATATTTGTACACTAAGTTATGCCCATTTTACTAGACGCTATATTGTGTGCACGAGCAGCGCGTCGACTGCATGTTGGCGCACTGAGGCAACGACTACTACCTTGCTGCACGCTGGTTGCGCACCCAAGACTTTATCCGCACAACAGCGCACGTGAAAAATTAGTGCAATCTCTAGGAAAACAGAAAGAAAGAAGCAATGTAGGAAATACAGTTGGAAAACGGAAAGTGAAACAGAATATCTGAGATTTGCAAGGGAAGATATTCAAAAATGGGAAGTAAGTGAGCTGGTGTCCCTAGCTTGATTATCTAAGGGAATGTAGAGTGTACAGAGGAATATCTAAACTAAATGCATGAAACATGTGATTGAAATATTTAAAAGCATACAAGTATCTAGCAAATTTGAGATATGATAATGGGAAAATTTTGCCGTCATAAATGACAAATCTATGGATGCAGTGAATATCAGTTAGATATTTTTACAATGTGATTTTGTGCTTAACTGCTTTTACTATCTTGGTGATTCAAATTGCAATTGCCTGATTCCATTTGGCTTTGGATTGCCAAAATTATCTTCATTCAACCTGTCAGGTTAATTGATGTCTCTTCAAACAAATTGATGCAAATATTAGTTGCAAAAGCGGAAGTGTTTCATAGTGGACCCTTAAGATTAGGGGTGTACAAGTCAAACCGAACCGACGAACCAAATCAAATAAAAAAAATTAATTTGTGGTTTGGTTTTGTTGGTTTGGCGTTGGAAAAAAAACTGACCACTCTTGGTTTGTTTGGTATTCGAAGAAAAAAAAGTCAAATCGAACCCAAACCAAACCGACATAATATAAATATATAATTTTATTTTATTTATAGATAAAATATTATTTATAATCTACTCTATTAATATATTTTTAGTTAGTTTATAGTTTTCAATGTTTATATATACTATTTCAAATTTGGGCTTGTAAAACTTTGTATATATTTTTTACTAAGATCAGAAGTTACAATAATATCGTTATAGTTTTTCAAATTCAAAGTTAACAATTACTTTGTAAATATCTTGTTTTGTATTCATTTTGTTTGTAGCCTTTGATCTCTATTAATTTAACATACCGAACCTTCATATGTAGAAAATATTTGTACTCATGTGAATTTTGTCGTCTTTTAGATGATATCTATTCATTTAACATTTTTTAAGTTTAGTTAATCACACGTAAGTGAAAATATATTTGATCTCTTTTTCAAACGCAGTATAGTTGTAAAAAACCCGAAAGAACTGACTTGAGCTGAAACCAAAAAAATAACTTTATGTGGTTTGATTTGGTTTCTAGATTTAATAAATTGACATAATTGGTTTAGATATTTTTTAATGAAAAACCAAACCAAACCGGCGCATGTACACCTCCCTTAGTCACTTCACTAGGAACAAATTTAAATGGAGGCAATCTCAGGTAGATTCTAAAGCCAGTTCAAAGGCAGTGAATTATTGTCCCTCCCCTGCCCAGAAAGATTCTCTTGAAAGGCAAAAGAGGGACTTTTTTTTTGTTTGATGAACATGGTGTCTGGACTAGCTTTTGCGCATCTCGACTAATTCATAGGATACCTGCCACCTCCCACCAGCAACAAGTACCAGGTAACTTTGTCCACCAAGGCCTAGGACTGGTGGGAATTGGGAAGAACCACTTAGTGATTTTTGTCCCGCTAGGAATTGAACCTGAGAAAAACTTATTGACCACTAGGCCACACCCTTGGATGCACAAAAGAGGAACAATTGGTAACATTGAGAGTCATGTATATATAGAGTGTTTGGCCTAGTGGTAACGGTGAGAGCCATGTAATACGCAGAAAGTAAGCCACTAGGCCAAACACTATATATACATGGCTCTCACCGTTACCAACTGTTCCTCTTTTGTGCATCCAAGGGTGTGGCCTAGTGGTCAATAAGTTTCTCAGGTTCAATTCCTAGCAGAATCAAAAATCACTAGGTGATTCTTCCCATCAGTATTAGCCTCGGTGGACAAAGGTACCTGGTACTTGTTGGTGGTAGTCGGTGGTAGGTATCTTATGAATTAGTCAAGGTGCGCAAAAGCTGGTCCAGACACCATGTTCATCAAACCAAAAAAAGTTCCTCTTTTGTCTTTCAAGAGAATCTTGGGTTGGGGAAGGAGAGGGATGACATAAATGAAATAATTCACTTCTTTCCAACTGACTTTAGAATCTACCTGAGACTTGCCTCCATTTAAATTTGTTCCTAGTGACTAGGGTGGTGTACATGGGTCGGTTTGATTTGTTTTTTCATTAAAAAATATGTAAATCAATTATGTCGGTTTATTAAATCTTGAAACCACCTAAAGTCGGTTTTCGGTTTCGGTTTTTTTACAACTATATTGTGTTTGAAAAAGAGATCAAATATATTTTCACTTACACGTGTGATAAGCTAAGCTTAAAAAATGGTAAATGAATAGAAATCATCAAAAAGACGATAAAGTTCACATGAGTACAAATATTTTTTTTATATATGAAGGTTCGGTATGTTAAATTAATAAAGATCAAAGGCTACAATCAAACTGAATACAAAATGAGATATTTACAAAGTAAATTGATAACTTTGAATTTGAAAGCTATAACAATATTATTGTAACTTCTGATCTTAGTACAAAATAATATATATACGACGTTTAACAAACCCAAATTTGAAATAATATATATAAACATTAAACTATAAACTAACTAAAAATATAAAACAAAGTAGATTATAAATAATATTTTTATGATAAATAAAATTATATATTTATATTATGTCGGTTTGGTTTGGGTTCGATTTGACTTTTTTTTCTTCGAATACCAAATCAAGAGTGGTTAGTTTTTTTCCAACGCCAAACCAAACCACAAATCGTTTTCTTTTGGGGGTTTGATTTGGTTTGACTTGTACATCCCTACTAGTGACAAAGGTTCAAGGGGAAAAGTCATCTCAAAGAAAGACGGTTTCAATGTTCTTGGACCTTTAGCCTTGAAATTTTTTCTGCTAATTTTGTTTCTTTACTTTTTTACTCAAATAATGATTTCAGTGCTTCATTGCTTTCAAAGTGAAGATAGTATTTTGTTGCTAGTAGGGGAGTAGCTTTCATGCTTCCTCTCATCTGGTGGAAGACAATGTCAGTTAAAGTCTGACTTTATCACTGAAGTTAGTATTTGTAAGCCAGACGACTAAATGCCTAGTGTTGAGGCAGACGTTTATCGAAAACCTGTAAAAGATTATCATGTCATGTGTTATATTTCAAAATTAGATGGATAATTTTTAGTCCATAACTTTTTTATGAGGTAACATTTGTATTATAAACCAGCACTTAGGTAGTGCTAAAACTCTTTTACAACAAGTAAATATTTAGGAAAGAACGAAGAACTTCTCTTCCTAGCATGATTCTTAAAAATTCTAGGATATCTTCTGCATCTATAGGAGAGTTCTTTGTATACCAAAAACACAAGCAAAATACAATTAATTTTTGCCTTTCATACTGGTAATATCAAAAGCAAAATACAATATGTTTTAATCTTCTGTATTGTTCTACTACTGTCTTCAAAACATCTACACTCCTCTTCTTCCAAAGAGTCCACCAAATGCAGGCTGGGATTGTTCTCCAATAGCTCCTATTATTGGCTCTAATCCCAGCTTCCTCCAAACTAGAGAGAGTGTCAACTATCTATCTTGCTAGGCATTGTCCATCTTATGCCTCTGAGATTGATGAAAATCTTCCATAGTTGGTCTGTGATTCTGTAACACAAGAAGTGTCTCACTGTCTCAGCTGCCTCTCCACACAAACAACAATGTCTAACTAAAATGTTCCTCTTTCTCAGGTTTTATGTGTCAAAACAGCCTTCTTTACTAACAGCCATGACAAGCATGCCACCTTCAGAGGTATTTTGTCTTTCCAAATTTGTTCCATGACCAGATGATGTTCTGTGACATTGTCAAATTAAAGTACTTTTACCCTGAATTTACTCTTATTCTATGAGACATTGTGGAAAAGTTAGATGTAACTTGTGCCTTGTAGAGTGTAGTAACTAGCAATTGAGTCTTTTATACTCAATAATTAATATATAGGTAGGCTGCAAGCATGTAGACCTCTCCAAAAGGGCATGATTCATCCAATTTCCTTTAACTCACACAACAGATGAACAAAGTATTAAGATCTTATAACCTTATCAAAATATAACAAATAAAAGTTAAAAGAAGAGTTAAGAGTCAGAGATATAAGTCAAATGGAACATACATTAGTCGGTAGAAGTTACCCAAGTTATAGAATCAAATAGACTAAAGAAAAGTCAAGAGAGTCAAAGTCATAAATTTAAAATTATTAGCTATTTAAATTAATATAGTCAAATGATCACAAAAATTTGTACGTCTACTCCATGTTCACAAGTTCTTAGACCAAAAAAGTACATAACATGCACATTTAAACTATAAACTAAGTTATACTTCAGGCATCTATATGAGTACATTCAATTCAAAGGCCATCTTTCTCAATATCTTCCATGTCATTTTCCAAATCTTCAACTTCATTTTCAAGGAGGACTCCTTCTAGTGGAGGTTCGTCAATTGACAATTCAACAAAATCATTGATACTTTCATCAATATTAAAATATTCTCTACCTAATACAATATCAAATGATTTTTAGGTTATTGTGAAAGAAACTTACCATATTAGAAAAAGACTCGAAAAATATCAAAAAACTTATCTAAATCCCAATTGTTGCTTGGATCACTTGTTATTTTTCTTTTCTTTGAGACAACAAGCAGAGATTATGATGCACAACAAAAAAATCTTCAATCCTTGAAGTAGCCAACTTGTTTCTCTTGATGCTATGAATTAATGAAAAAGTTCTCCAATTCCTTTCACAACAAGATGAAGAAGCCAACCAGGAAAGCAATTTGTAAGTCAAACTTTGTAAAAGTTGAGCATTTATACCATGGTTAGCCCACTAAGATAGAGGCTCCGCATACCCCATATAGCATCAATTACATAAGGCTCACTAAAGTGACCATTTCCTCTACAAAATGCCCCTTGCTCGAAAGAATATTTGCTTTGAATCATTTGGATCTTTAATAATTGAAAGCATTTGATTCTATACAAGGAAATCTCTCTATCTTCATTAGGGGAACAAGTCTTCTTATCCCATTGCTTTCACTTTGAAGCCAAGATTCATGGTAGTATTCGGAAACCAAGGAAATGTGTCATACAATGCAATAGAATATTACTTTTATTCCACCTAACCACGAGATTTCTTGAATTTTCTCAAAGAATTTCCTATTGACCATTTTCCCCATGCTCAAATACAATCACCTTTACCTTTTCGCTTATTGTATCCCACATGTCAGAAAATAAGGTGCAATTGCAGGCAATCAAGGTCGGGTCTTCTAAGCATAGATATCGGTTTCATACACTTTTAAAAGATTCAGGTCTATCCCACCAACTATCATCCATCACAAGGGATTTTATTTCACACCCTTGCATTAACTACTTTATCTCCCTTGTAATTTTTCCATTTGTCATCCATCACCTTTTTTTCCAATGACGATTTTACTTGATGAATACAAGAAGTTGTGATAATATGGGAAGCAAATAGTTTCGGCAACTTCTAACAAAGATAGTTCCGAATAGTTTTTGGGAAATGGCATGCGCCAACTCATGATTCACCACAAAATTTTAAGCTACTCACTTCACCAATCAATATTAGTATTTATTCACAACTTGAGAAGTGAGGTGACTTTTAGAAAGGTTGACACATACTTTTCAAAGCAAGATTTAGGCAATGAATGACACTTGGTGTCCAATATATGTGAGGAAAAGTTTGTTCAAAAATAGAACAAGCAAGTTTCATATTTCCTGCATCATCGGTGATAACTTCGTCTTTTGTTTGAGACGGTAACAACTTGTATTCTGTTCCAAAACAAAAACCAGAACCTGCCACAAGAAGTTACAGATTCCTAATTACATCGGTGATAACTTGAACTACATTTTGTGGATTAACATCTTCTATGGCTTTAACAAACAACTTAGCAAAATACTCATCATCCTTGACAGTTCCACCAGAATTAAATGATTTCAAGAGTATTGGTCCATGACTAGATGTTCTCATTATATTTATCACTGATCAGCTTTTAGTATCAGACCATCCATCCGAACAAATTGATAATTAAATGAAGGGAGATGAAGTGAAATTGTCACTGGAAAAATTACAAGGCCGATAAAGTACTTGAAGAAAGGACACGTGAAGTAAAATCTCTTATAACGAATGATGGGATAGAGTTGAATGCTTTTTAAAGTGTATGGAACTGATACTATATATGCTTAGAAGAGCCAACGTGAATGTCTGGGAGACAGCTACAGAGAGATATTGAGTTTAGTACTAGAAGATGCATGTTAGTTTGCTAAACTGAGTATTTAATCAAATCTCCAACTGGTTTGGGATTGAGACAGTTGTTATTGAGTATCTAATCAATAGTAGAACCTGAATTTCCTCCTTCATTCCATTCGTGATACCCTGGCAAGAAGAGCTTTTGTTCTGGGTGTAATGTAGCAGCTCTCAAATCTTCATGTCCTATTCTTGGAGAAAAAGGAAAGTATGCTGCTTGTATAATCTAGTGTTAATATCTTGGAGAAAATTAGTGTATTTCAAAGTGTAAGTTGGAAGCTTTTAAGTGACCATTAAGTTAAGTGTTCCAAGAACCATCAAGTGAGTAGTTGATTATGATGTTGCATATCTACACATCAACACAAATGCATCTCTTCACATTTAATTATAAATAACCACATTTGATATTCCTCGAGCACTTGTTGAGTTAAGGCGAGACATAATTTTGTCATATTGTTTAAGTATTATGAAGATTTGTCTAGAGCAAAAATAATGCATCATTGTGTCGTGCATGTATATCGTGTTTTTCAGAAACTCACTTGACCATTTATCATTTATTATTTCTTCTTTACCAATTAACATGCCATTGTCATTTAATTCAAGATCTTATGTCCTTCACAGATGGTGCAGACTTATCTGCCGCATGGCTGGACAATCGGTGCAAGTTACAAGGTGATTTATAGTTCTGTGAATGCATAGAAGATCAGATCTCATAGGATTAATCTTAGGTTGGTTAAATACATTTTCATGTTGATCAAGTATAAGCTTATCTTAATGTTACTACTTGGAGCACCACTCTTCCTGTCTGACCTTAATTTATTAATGGTACTAGCTTGATAATCTCAAATGTTGGGAGATTATGTGTCAAATGAATGTCTCTTACCTTGCTGTGTTGAATTCTGGTCTTTTATGTTTGTGTTGCTTCTCGAGTTTGTTGGATTAATCCACTGGAGAAATGATTTTTCTTTTGCGTATCTTGCAAAAGAAGGTCAGCTGATTTGTCTTTAAAAAAAATGACTACAAATTATGCATGACAACAGTTGTTTTGAGGAAAACAAAGTCTTAAGGTTCTTGTTTTCTGTTAAGTCTCATACTTAGATCATGTTAAAACACAGCTGATAAAACAATGAAACATTAGAAAACAAATGGCTGAGCATGTTTATGCTGTAATTTTTCTTGAGCTAACATTATCTACATGACCTTTTAACAGAATTAATTTTGGTCTTGTGTAAACATTAGAGGAACTTCTTCTATTATCAACCTCCATGTTAGTCTTGCATTCAAACAAGCGCTTACCCCACTTTGAGAGGGAATTTCATATTCTGTTTTTTTTTTTCTCTATAAGGCATTTGGTTTTAGAACATTATTGGCTTAATATAGTAAAAGGCTTTCTATCTAAATATATACTTAATTTTCTATTTTTGAAGTCAATCTTGAAACTAGTACTAATTGAAGTAAGATAAGTTTCCTACTTATTTGTTTAGAGAGAAGTGTGGGAGAATCTAAGAAGTGGCCAATGAGAAAAAGAGCGAAGCAGTCCATTAACTGACTCACTCTTCGCTGAAAACAATGACAAAGAAAAATGAGAAAGATCCGTTGGTGAAGATGTCACTCCTGACATTGACAGTGTTAGCTATTTTTATCTTTATACACTGATCAGTGTTTTTCAAGCTTTACAACTCACTTCACTACCCTACTTTTCACTGAATTCTGAATTATCATCATCATCTTGGAATACACAAGTGATATTACAGCACATCAATGAGATCAGTGCAACTAGTTGGTGATAATAGGTCAAATTTAGGGATGGTAATGGGGTGGAGTGGTGTGGGTTTAAGGTTGTGTGGGGGCAAGTTGAAGTGGGTTTCTTAAAAAAACTAATAACCGGCGTGACAGGTTATGAGTATATGTGATTTTATGTGGGTTTAAACTTAATTCTAACTTTTTACATCTTATAAGAGTGTTAAATCTACTAAATATTCAAGATAGTAAATGAAATGTTTCGACAAAAAAATAATACACTTTTATATGTTTTCCAATTGATCTCTAAAAAATAATTTTCAAGTCACTGTCATGTTAAATTGATACAACTTAATTGAAAAAAATGAATTTATTTTTATGAAATATATTTTTAGTATCAAACTTCACTGAGAAAAATATTAAAAAATTATGAAGGGGGTGGGGTGGGGGCTGGATTTGATAATGAAAAAAGTAGTTCTGCTGTCTCTAGTCAAATTTCAGTATAAAGAAACAAAAATGAAATATATGGTGTTGGTGGTATCTTTTCGAGTGTTGAATTTGGTTGAACTTAATAACTTTTGATTTGATTCCATGAAAATCACTATATGTTAAAATTAAATTTTCTTTCTCTTGGATTCAACCATTATTAGTTTTAAAAAATCATGGAAAAAAGTGTTGATTTGAAGGGTGTGTTTGGTACGAAGCAAAATGTTTTTCATGAAAAATGTTTTTCTGAAAAACAAGTAGATTTTGGACTTATTTTCTCATGTTTGATTGGTGAGTAGAAAATATTTTTCGAAAATGATTTTTAGTATTTGATTTATGTATGAAAAACATTTTTGAGAGAACTTTTATTTTTACTAGAGTAGAATATAATTTATGAAATTAAAAATATTTTTTAAAAAACAATTTTTTTTTTTGGGGGGGGGGGGGCAGGGTAGGGAAGGGGAGGGTGTAGGAGTGAAAAATATTTTTTGAAGTTTATAGCGTTTTTAAAAAACAAATTAATTTTTGGGGATTGGGGATAGGAGTTTAAAAATAAAAATTTGAAGTTGAAAATATTTTGAAAAAACAAAATTGTTTTTTTGGGGAGGGGGTGGGGTTGGGGGGGCTGGCCGGTGGTGGATGGGTGGGGTTGAGGGATCGGGTAAAAAGATAAAATTTTAAAATTGAAAAGATTTTTTTAAAATTGTTGTTTTTCCAAAAGAAATGTAATTTAAAATTGGAGGAGAGTTTTGGAAAATATTTTTCTTAATTTTTGAAGGGAAGTTATTTTCCTTAATTTTGAGAAAAATGAGTTGATATGGAAAAATATTTTTCAAAATTTTTGTCCCAACCAAACTTGAGAAAAATATTTTCCTTCATACCAAACACACTCGAAGTCGTGCTTGTTTATCTAAAAGTTGAGGACTCAAAACAGCCATTTTAATGCAGTTGTCATGATGTTGCATCAAAGTGGGAAAGGCATCTCACTGACATAGTACTCTAAAACTAGCTTCCCTTTGTAACTTTACAGCTCCTTTAATTTGTTTGAACAGACAAAAACCAAAAGGTAAACAGTTAATCCACTGAGTTCTTCCAATGGAATACCTACACCCAAATAAATGAAAGATTTATTTCTTCATCGTGACAGAAAGGGCAAGTCATCAAATAGCTGCTCACTTTAGCTTTTAAAAATGAACCGAAATTGATAATTCAAATTTTAAAGGAGCCTCAAAGCATCCACCTACAATCTCGAAGCATCAAGAAAAATCAAGAAGAAACAATTTCAATATATGTGAATTTATGTCCAATTTCATCTCACAAGTGTAATCTCACTGAACTCGTCATCGGCATACTACACTAATAAACTCACTCATCAAACACTAAGGTGTAGTTACATGCTAAATGACTTTTTATTTTCATCTAGCTATGATCTGCAGGGACCATCTTGTTGACCACGCCCTATAGGAACCAGGCTATCTACCGCTTTTTAAACTTGTTTGCTTAGGCTTGTGCACTGATTCCATGTATCATAGCAACATGATATCTGACTCTTCGAACATATGTACCTCGTACGGAACCTCACGTTGAACTTGAGTCACTCATCACTAGGAAGGTTATAATTACTTTTACATTTCTCGCGCATTATAACAAATGGTTAGTTTCACCAAATATAACTCGGTTTATAACAATTATAAATACACTAGTAACACAAGTAAATCAATCTAATTCATCTTTAATAACTTGTACATTTTAAGCATCAACAATCATATCATAGATTACAAGCATGTTTGGAGACCAATTAATAAGTATTCAATTTAGGACTATAAATATGAATATAAATTAAGTCTAAACTCTAATTAAATCATAACCTACTTCAACAGAAGAACCGAATGCAAGTTGATCCGTAAGAGTCTTCCCTTGTCCAAAGCTTTGAATTGGTCAGGGTCTAAAATAAGTAATTACACAATATTGAATTACTTACTCCACAATTCTAGACCTTACGAGCTAAACCCCATTGATTTTACCTTTGTTCATTACCTAAATATAATAATCCGAAAAGTTATCTTTGGAATTTTTTTTATAAAATTATCATTTTACCCCTTTTAATAATTGTCCGATTCATTTTCTTATTGGTTTGTGAAGTTGGGTTAGAAAGTTTAGTGCACTGTTGAGATTTTTAGAAGTTTTTAGTTTTATAAGGCTTAAGTTGGTTAAAAGTGGCTTATTGTGTCAATCAAAGTTTTGAGTCTCGGAATGAAATTTGGTTAGTTCCAGAATGTGGAATTTGGTCTAGGAGAGTCATCAGTTTCTATTCAGACTTATATTGTGGATTTGAAGCGTTGAGTTAGGAAGTTTGGGTGCTCAGATTAGATTCTAAGTTCGAATGCTCGGATGAAATTCCGACAATTTCATTGAATTTGTAGGATGATTTTAGGTCTAGAAGACACATTAGATGATTTTTGGAGGCTCCGAGGCCAGTTTGATCACTTTTGAGCGTTAAGTTAGTTTATTGAAATTTTCACGAGTTTCAGGTCAAGGAGACCTCAAATTCATATTTTGATGGTTCAATTGAGTTTGAAATATCGAGCTAGCATATTTTTTTGTGTGTAATGAGTTTCAAACAAATTTTGAAGGTCCTTTCGGAGACTAATATGTTTAGCTAATTTTTTGTGTTTGTTGTATGGCGCATTTGCGAAGTTCTGTTCACTTTTGCAACATCCACGTTAGCGAAGACCTGATTGCGTTTGTGAGGGTTGAGGTTTTCAATCCTCACATTTGCGAAGGTCTACTCATTTCCACGATAGACCTATCACTTTCACGAGAGTCATATTATTCGGGGATAACGTTCACGATCAGGGCGTCGTGTTCACAATGGTCTCGTAAGTGATCTTGAGTTTGCGTTCGAGATTGGTGATTTCAAAGAGGTTTTTCAAGATTTATTGATTGGGTAACAATTTCAAGCTCTTTTTAACTCTTCTATTCATTAAAGATTTCATGATATTGATGTATAAACATGAGTTTTGAGCCAAACTTTGAAGGTTTTTGTAAAGGGTTAAGGTTTTGATAAAATGGTGACGTAAGGCTTGTTTGAGCTCCGTTTTCGAAATGGTTTTCACTGATAGTTTTTAAATCACTTGGGTAATGCAATACTAAATTCTAGATTTAGCCTTTCTGTTGGAATGTATGCGTTCACGTATATTGATGTGACCAAGTCCTCGGTGCAGTAAAATCAGACAGTAAAGAATAAATACAAAAACGTAAAGATCGACAAGTAATTTTATGTGGAAACCTCCTTGCTCAAGAGAAGAGAACCACGACATGTTCTCAACAGGACTTTTCAAACCACTTTCACTAATCTTCAACAAGCAAAAGTAAAAGTCGGTGACAACAAGAGATTAGCTTGCTAATTCTTCCCCACTAAGTAATACTCCCTATCACTTAGTTGAGCCTGAGCAGATACAACACTGCTCTCTATACGAATCCTACCTGATTAATATGGAATTAGAGTAAGAACCTAAGTTACCCTTAATTGTAGCCCTTACAATGATTTACAAAAGTTTGAAACATTTCTTTCTTAATTGAAATGAATTCTACAATATAAGAACAATTATAAGTAACCAAATACAACAAATACAAAAAGCAATAAATGCACTTCGATCAGTTCCTTTGAT